GTGATACGTCACTAGTACATGACCTGGCTTGCACTGTGTAATATTTGAGGTTTACAGAGTGTAGGTCTGCTTTTTTTTTTCTTGCTCTAGTGCTCTTGGAGTCAAAAAGCAAGAGCAAGCAGGAAGCAATTGAAGTGTTGAATCCAGAGAAGCATGACATCTGAACAGCAAGAATTTTCAGAGGGAATGCAGCAATGGCAGCTTGCATATTTCTTTCATAGCAGGTTTGTGTTTGGTCCTGTTAGCACTTCTGTACTGCGCACTCAAGCTGTATTTAACTTCAGTAAAGAGAAATTTGCCGCTGTGTGTGTCTATGAAGTGAGGCTCTGTAGACAAACAGGATGGGAGCAAGCACACTGCATGTTCCCCCATAGCAAACGGCTTGCTATGGGAACACAGAAAAAAGAGGAGGAGCCAGGAGCACCGGTCGAGGTCCTGAGAAGAGGGGGATTGGAGCCAATCTCCAGAACAATTCTCCCCGTATCGTATGACTGCATCACACTTTACCAACGTGAACCTCTGCAGCGATCATTCTGTCTACATCTGTTGAAATAAGAAGCCAAACAGAATGATCACATGTGACCAGATTTTAGTGGATAATTTAATGGTACTTTCACAGTTTTGCATGTAATCGCAAATGAAGCAATAATTTGCTGTTAAGGACTGATGTGTCCCCCAAGGTGCGAACTATCTGCATCCAGGAGCACATATCCATCCCTAACCACAGGTAATCACTCCTTGTGGAATTACATGTAAACAGCAACATCCTGTTATTGATTTATACAAACTTTCCTGTTCATTGCTGAATGGAAATACCTGGCCCTGCCTGCCAACAAAATATGCTGATCTGGGCAGTGTATGGCCTTAATCAGCTGTCTGCATGAATCCTTAAGGTAATATTAGCTCTACATTCACCTTTAGTCCCCTTTCACATAGGGCAGATTCTGTTCTTAGCAGCTCACAGATCCCCTGTTGATCAGAGCAGAAGGGGGGGATGACACATCCGTGTCCGCTCAGTTTCTGCAGATCAGGCACAGCCCACTCTGCTCTATGGGTGGCCGGGAGTAAACAGACTCCACTGTACATTTACACTTGACTAGCCTCCGATCTGCCTAAATGGAAGAGGACAGGCCCCCTTTTATTTTGTTTTTTTTAAAAGACCAGATCAGACCTGGAGGCAGGCCAGTGTCAACAGGCAAAACTCAATTTACACCCGCCTGTCCATAGGAATGCATAGACTATCCAATCAGATGCACTAAAATAAATGACAGGCGGACCTGATCAGTTGGCCCATGTGAAAGGGGCTTAAAGGAAAAAATAATAAATGCACATATTTTTCACGAAGCAAAATGTGCATTTTATTATTCATTCCACACGGGCCTACAAAGCATTGCACTTAAGATCAGTGGATTGCCGTTGTAATGTTAGACTTTTGCAGACACGTCCTCCCAGTTTTCTGCCTGTATCTCCATCTGGGCTTTCAGTTAGAGCTGGAAGAAGTGTCAATGGATTACAAATGCACCGATTGGCACACCCATAATCCAATGAGAACTACAAGTCATCTACCACGGTTGCAGATGGGACTTGTAGTTTAATTATTCACAGATCTTGCAAATGAATGATGTGGTGCCTATGCACCTTTGGGTATAACATGTTTCTGGAGATTAACGTATACTTTAAACCCAAATTTAAATTGCTGAGTGTAGGACTTGCATTATCTACAGCTTCTTCCCCGGTTTATCCTTTTCTCACTGTGCCTCAACTGCTGCCCTCAATTTCCATTGTAAGAGTGGCTCCTTGGCTTGCAGGGTCCTATGGAGCTCTGCCAGAGCCGCCTACACCGACAGAATACGTACAGGCAGCTCACAAGAATGGAAAGATTGATGTCATGAGTGTACATGCGCAGCAGTGCTAGGAATGATGGGACATGTAGGCGCCAGGAGGGTAATCAGAGACACTTATAAAAGTTTTTAAAAGTAATATGTAGTGGTATTGTTTGGCATAATTGTGCAGTAGATTGCTGGCCAAGAGGGATGTACTTGTAATTGAAAACTGAAGTTGTATTACTACTTTAAGGTTTTTAATGCATTTACCTGCGGTCTCTATACAATACTGCATCTTATTCAGATGCCTTGACTTCCAGTTCTGTTTATAATTTGTGTTTTTTTTTTTTTTTAATATCTATAAACAAATGCCTTGCCTTTTATTTCTATTATAAACTGAATGGATTGTTTTCCAAGGTGAGGGTTTACATATACAGTTGTGTTCAAAATAATAGCGGAATACACGCAAATGCATTGGGAACACTGCATAGTCTATTCCGAATCAAAACATGAAGAAAAATGTTTAACATTTGTTATTACTTTACAGAAAGGGAAGAAAAAAGGAAAATGTTTGAGTTTGTAAACTGAAAAATGCTTGAAGATTTAGCTTTCCTGTGAATCACTGAACTAATATTTAGTTGTATAAGCACTGTTTCTGAGAACTGCTTCACATATGTGTTGCATGGAGTCGACCAACTTCTGGCACCTATGAACAGGTATTCCAGCCCAGGACGATTGGACTACATTGCACAATTCCTCTGCTTTTCTTGGTTATACTTCAGAAACTGCATTTTTTTATGTCACCCCACAAGTTTTTTTATTGGATTTAGGTCCGGGGATTGGGCTGGCCACTCCATAACGGTAATTTTGTTGGTCTGGAACCAAAATGCTGCTCGCTTACTGGTGTGCTTGAGGTTGTTGTCTTGTTGAAACACCCATTTCAAGGACATTTTCTCTTCAGCATAAGGCAGCATGACCTCTTCAAGTATTCTGATGTATTCAAACTGATCCATGATCCCTGGTATGCGATAAATGGCCCAACACTGTAGTATGAGAAACATCCCCATATCATGATGCTTGCGCAACCATGCTTCACAGTCTTCGCAGTGTATTCTGGCTTGAATTCAGTCTTTGGGAGTCGTCTGACAAAATGTGTGTAGCCCCTAAACCCAAAAAGAACAATCTTGCTTTCATCAGTCCACAAAATGTTGCGCCATTTCTTTTTATGCCAGTCAATGTGCTCTTTGGCAAATTGTAAACTCTTCAGCACATATCGTTTTTCAACAGTGGGACTTTGTGGGGGCTTCTTGCTGATAGCTTGGCTTCACATAGGCGTCTTCTAATTGTTAGTGTACTCACAGATAACTTTAGACCTTCTTTGATCTTCCTGGAGCTGATCATTGGCTGAGTCCTTGCCATTATTTGCTATTCTTCAATCCATTCGAATGGTAGTTTTTCGCTTTCTTCCACGTCTTTCTGGTTTTGGTTGCCATTTTAAAGCATTTGAGACCATTTTAGCTCAGCATCCTATCAGTCAGTTTCTGCATTTCTTTATATGTTTTTCCCCCCTCTAATCAACTTTTAATCAAAGTAGGCTGTTCTGAACAGTGTCTGTAACTACCAATTTTAATTTTCAGAGAGAAATGCACTATACCCAGCATGTACAACATTTGCTGCCTTTGTCCTTAAATAAGGGCCACCTGTTTGACACGTTTTTTCAGACTGAATGACCTCACTAATTGAACTCCACACTGTTATTATTTTGAATGTGCTCCTTTCAAATAATGATTCAATTACAATGAATCAGCAGCATGCATGCCATGACTGTAGGATTTGTTGGTTTTCTATTATTCTACTACACCTAATAGTAAATTATTTGCCATGTAGAAATATAATTTATACCGAAAACAGTGATTGATCAGGTTAGTGATGTTGGACTGCTATTATTTTGAACTGTACTTGAATATGACTGCCTACTCTTATAATGAAATATATATTTTATGTTGCCTGCTACCACTGAGGATGGCTTATTTCTACAGTACAGCTCCACACATGTATATTAATTACATTGATTTTTTTTTGCTTCCTCGATATATCTTAAAACCACTGACAACAAGCACAGCCCAGTGTAATGCATTTAAATGAATGAATTATCTTTGCAGCCAGTACTCCTGATAGGAACAAGCTATCAGCTTTATTTTAGTCCTCAGGCTTTTCGATGTCTAATCGGATGAAAACAGTACAAGTATTCCTGCATGTAGGAAATAGAAATGGAAGCCTTTCTACAAGTGTACTTCAGCTTAGCATCCATTGTTCTGTTGGTACGGTCCTCCATTTTATATGCAGCGTAATAAGAGGCAAATAAATGATGTGGCCTTAGGAGGCATAATCAAAACTCTCCCTTAGTAGATTCCTAATTAGACCCTGTCAGCAACTTAAAAATTTCAGGTAAAATCACAGAAAAAGTGTTTTAAATGCTTACTAGTAGTGTTTTTCCTTTCCATAATTGTTTATTGACTTAAAATGTGCCTTTGAACTTGCTAAGGAACTTGACTACTTCAGAAAGAGTTCACTAGCACAGCCCCCTCTCTCTTGCCACGTCCTAGCACTCTCTTTTTCTGGGAGCACCTTATTTCTCTCTGTGTTGGCCCAGCTCCTATGCCCCTCTGCTCACCTCCCTACATGCCGTCCGCACTGGAAAACACAACCGTACTGGGAACCTAGGTTCCCGTGCAAGCTGTGTTTTTTTCAAAGAAGTGCAGGGACTTCTTTCCTGTGTGTCACGGGCATGGGAGTCCATTCAAATGAATGGGCTCTCGTGCCCGTGCAAAACGTGGCCCGCATGGGCGCATATATGTGTACCGGAGGTTAGTGTCCTTCCCTACTGGAGAACACACTCACAGGTGTATTTGCTAGGGCCTGCTGTCATTGTCAAAGCAGAGATCTCTGTAGCAGATTTGCTGTGGGCACGGATTAGCTGATATGTCTCATTATCAGTGTTTTTTTAAATTGGTTAAATGGTTTACATTCCTACTCAAAATGCATTGAAAATGAACTTATTTAAATTCTTTTTTCAGGGCTAAATAGACATTGCTACACTGGAATTTCATCCTGGTCATTGGCTTGAGTGACAAAAGTTGTTCCTAATGTGCTGTACACTTACCCTGGAGGAATAACATGGACTGGGACTGTACCGCAGCCATGCAGGTGGGAATGCGTGTGGTTCGAGGCATTGACTGGAAATGGGTGAACCAGGACAATGGCGAGGGCAGCGTGGGAACTGTGGTAGAAATTGGACGCCAAGGCAGCCCTACAACACCTGATAAAACTGTAGTGGTTCAGTGGGATTATGGCACAAGAACAAACTACCGCACTGGATTCCAAGGAGCTTATGATCTATTGCTGTATGATAATGCTCAGACAGGTATGTGACAACTCCAGTGTCCCCTCATACTTTAAAATCATGTTTGTAGCATTAATAAAGATCTGCCAGTTGAGCATCAGCTTATATTAATTGCTTAAATAAGATCTGCCCTTTAAATCAGACCTACACTGTTCGTTCCAGTTAAATGAAAAGGCAGATCTTGGGGGGATGTAGCTCTTAAGTCCAGATCATGTGGCCTTTCTTTAAAATGAATGAAGATTCTGCTGATGTTGGTTCCCACCATGCAGAGCTGCTGCAAGTCATGTGACTTGTCATACAAGTGGTGGGATCTGTAGTGGTTGGATTTTTTCTGTACAGCACTGGGGGTCTTAGGTTTAAAGTAATTGTAATCCCTTACAGTGAAGTGACTGGCCTCAGATGATACACAGTGATGAAACAAATCCTGTTACATAAGTTGTGCCTGTCTATCTGCAGTATTCTCTGCTCTACATACTTTCAAAGTGCTATTTTATGCAGCTTGTGTGAGAGTTCAGAAAAAAGGGGGCAGAGAGCTGAAATCACACACTGCAGAGCTCAGTGAGAGGATCTCTGAGAGCTGATTGGAGGGAAGAGACACCCCCCCCCTCCATACAGCACACAGGAACTGTACTGAGGCTGTCTATCTGCTAGAGGTCCCTCCCCCTGTCACTATTTTCCCTTTGGTGTCAGGAAAACTTTTCAGAAGTGACTCATGCAGATAGCAGAGGAACGAAGCAGCAGACAGAAATGACACTTAGTCACAAGTACATACTATAGAGAGATATTCTTTGTTCATATTTCATGTCTGAGGTTTGCAACCACTTTAAGTTCTACCAAGTACACTAGCCACATGGATTGTGTATGTTCTTTATAGGTTTGCATTGACTTCCACCCAAAAACTTAAAGCATGCTGGTTGGTTAATTGGCTTACCCTCAAAATCTATAGATTCTTGCTTGCATAACTGTGATAGAAACACTAGATTGCAAGCCCCTCTGCAGAAAGAAGTTTCATGATAATATTCAGAAGTATGTGACAACAGCAGCTGTCTGCAGATATAAAATCATGTATATGGTGTTTGACAGGGATCTTTCAAGTAAACGCACAGTTTAAAGGGGCACCCAACTCAGTCAGAAAATGGAGTCCACATAGATCTCTTCATGCTGGCCACTTTTGCAGATATAACTCTGTGAAACATTAAAAATAATATGCTGGAGGCAATTTATAGCCCACACTAATTTGGTAACATAATTATTAATGTAGAATGTATGTTCCTTGCTAAAGGACATTATTTTTTCTCAAGTTCTTATGGGTAAAGTTGTGTACACGTGTGTATACAATCATATATAACCGCCCCTCTTTTTTTACCTCCAGGTGCCTGCACACCAGATCTGGTTTATTTCAAAGAACACTGGGACCCCAGTAAATCTGCTCCTGTGGGTGAACACTCTGTATCCCCCTATCTTGGCAATACACTATTTCTTAGTGTGGTACACCATTTTTTGAAGCTGAAGAGGGTTTGGGCCACAGCTAACTCTCACAGGGACTGTTTGCACATCAGAACACTCCTTTTTCTCAGGTCCTGAGTGCTCTGCAGGAATTCAGATCTGAGGTGCAGGAAACTGAAAATGCCTGCTAGGCAATTAAGTGATGGTTTCATTGTTTATTATTTTATTTATATGTGATGTGTCAAAGGATGGCAAAAAAAGTTATGTACTGTTAAGTTATTCTGCCATGTTGCTTGGCGCATAATCTTTTTATCAATTCAAGCAGCTTCAGGGAGGGGAAAATTACTGTGACAAAGATGATCACCTTGAAACTTCTGATATCAGCGTCTGTTGCAGAAAGGAGGAGATGTTCATGTAGGTGGCAGTAAGAAGCTTATTATGTCCCATGTCCCATGTACCATGCCTTTGCTGTCTTTGGTACTTCTGGGCAATTTAGCATTTATTACAATGTAAGTCTCTGTAGCATCCTGTTTTCATAGACTTTCCAGGAACACTGTCTATGACTATTTATTAATATTATTATTATTACAGGTACTTATATAGCGCTGTCAATTTATGAAGCGTTTCACTTATTTATTATACATTCACATCAGTCCCTGCCTCAAAGAGCTTACAATCTAAGGTCCCCAACTAACATTCCCATACTAGGGCGAATTTTAAAAAGGAGAGCCAATTAGCCTTCCAGCATATCTTTGGAATGTGGGAAAAACCGAAGTACCCGGAGGAAACCCATGTAGAACGCAGAACAATATGCAAACTCCATGCAAGTAGTGCTGTGGTTGCGATTTGAACCAACAACCCTGGTGCTTCTTCTAGGCAAAAGTGCTAACCACTTAGCCGCTGTGCTGCCCCTTTGCTATGTATGCTACATCTGGGCACGTTAGCATTTATTACAATGTAGGCCTCTGTAGCTTCCTGTTCTCATTGACTTTCCAGGAGTACTGTCTATGACTATTTAGGAGAACTCTTTGATGACTACACCAAATAAGTGCCCCACTTTAACTTTTACCCTCTGATGTCTGCAGTATGAACAGTACCTGGAGGTCCAGAGCTCACATTGACTAGGACCAGCAGTGACCTGCCTGTGCTGTTTTGGGCCTCTCAACCAGCTTTATCTGCTGTCATTTCTCTCCACAACTTAGCTGACTGTACTGTGTGGTATAAAGCTTGCTCCCTTCTCTGTGAAGAAAAGAGAATGCTGACAAAGGTTTTCCTGAGGAGCATTTCTTGATCGGTATGTAGCAGTATGTTTTAGGATTTTATCAGATTAGAAGATCTATAGAATGAAGGAGGTTTGGTAAAGAAGAATAGTTTCCATCACATATTTTACATCCTGTCCAGTAATCCGATCCAAGATTTCTGACATCTGTTCCTTTTTAAGCTAAAGGTACAGGGATATTGGCCTACGAAGAAGACTGTGTTGTTAATGTCCACTATTTTTTATTATGCCAGTAACCATGGCCTGGCTGTAACAGGTTTTCCTGTTCCTTAGGTGTTCGCCATCCAAATATCATCTGCGACTGCTGTAAGAAGCATGGAATTCGTGGCATGCGCTGGAAATGCAAAGTCTGCTTTGACTACGATCTGTGCACGCAGTGTTACATGAACAACAAGCACGACCTTTCCCATGCCTTTGAGAGATACGAAACTGCCCATTCCAGGCCGTAAGTACAGAACCAAAAAACTCCTACAGACGGCCACAGAACACTCCATTTGGTTCACTGAAAGTATTGCTAAACTTATTTTTAAAATCTCAACCCACCAAACGCTGTGCAGATTTTGAGCAGCTGCTGCCGGTTTAATTAGCCGCATAGGGACTATAGTAGAAAGATTTCTCTCCTTTCTTGCATTCCCAGCACAGCTCACCTGTCACTACCATTATTACAAGTGTCACAATCTATGTTTGATTTCAGGCTAATTTTAAAATGAACATGTCATTACAAAAATACATAAACATTTTCATAGAATTAGTCACTATAAGGTGCAAGTGTCCTTGTTTTTCATACCATATCTATAGTGCTGCTGAAGCCCCTCAAACTTTCCACACAAACAGAAACTTTATAAAAGTTGATGCATGCATATCCCAGATGGTAGTTTTTGGATTTAGAGTAGGTGACTCTGGCACTAATTATTGAATTGTAGAATACGATGGGGGACAAATGTGCTGTTTTTTAGGAAGTTGGCGACTGCCTTCTAGTTTAGAAGAGCCCCCAGGGCGATTTGGGGAACTAACTTAAAAATAGAACGTATGATAATGGTAAATATGGAAAAAACAGAGGGTGGGTGCTTCTTGTACCTTTCCTAATTGCTCTGTGGGCACCATCTATTCATTTGAATTGGACCACAAAACCACTGAGGAGAAAATGGGATTTTAATGTGCCAACCAATGAGAACAGACACTTATGTATAAAACCAGTAACATCTTCATTATACAATAAAAAAACAAAATCGGCTACATATTTCTGAAATGTAACCATCTTTAGATTAATTGTTGCTGAGATTCATTTTAAACAACATGTAGTATATGCTGCAGTCCCTTGTACTGTGTCTAGGAGCAGCACATTTCACAATGAAATACTTTGTTCAGGATCCATGCCTATTGCATATACATCAGATGGTCCAATATACAAAATAAAATGCAATTCATAAATATACATTAGTATTAATCTGCGTGGGGATGGAAATACACAAATATAGATCAACCCATACAAAGTAATAAGAAGGAAAAAAAGGACGAAGAAGGGGACGTACGTATAATATTTCTCTATTGCCCACCTCAAATGGTTACTGCCATACTAGAAGACAGATTTCAATTGGCGCCAACAGATTGTTATACAGGAGAATGAGGGGAGGGGGAGGGGGGGTTTAGAGAACACTGATCATTCAAACAAGAAAAGTCATTAAAACTGAATTATAACCAAGCACAATAAAAAGTATTAGGGATACCTTCCCCAATATATTAATGTACAGAAGAATAACAAAAATTATCTTGTGTTACCTACTGTGCTCCGTTATGTTGAATATACAACTGTAAACAGCCTGTAATACAATTGAAAAGTTAGGCTTACCACATATGAATGCTCAAGAAACCATGCAGCAGATGATCCAAGAGTACACAGTATGCACAACCAATAGGACTAAAATGACTATACCAACAGAAAAAAACTCAAGATCTCATCTGTTGCACCATATATACAGTGCCTTGAAAAAGTATTCATACCCCTTGAAAGTTTCCACATTTTGTCATGTTACAACCAAAAACGTAAATGTATTTTATTGGGATTTTATGTGATAGACCAACACAAAGTGGCACATAATTGTGATGTGGAGGGAAAATGATAAATGGTTTTCAAAATTTTTTTACAAATATCTGAAAAGTGTGCCGTGCATTTGTATTCAGCCCCCCGGAGTCAATACTTTCAAGAACCACCTTTCACTGCAATTACAGCTGCAAGTCTTTTTGGGGATGTCTCTACCAGCTTTGCATGCCACACTTTTCAGATATTTATTTGTAAAACATTTTGAAAACCATTTCTCATTTTCCTTCCACTTCACAATTACGTGCCACTTTGTGTTGGTCTATCACATAAAATCCAAATAACATACAATTACATTTTTGGATGCAAATTGACAAAAATGTGGAAAAATTTTAAGGGGTATGAATACTTTTTCAAGGCACTGTATATCCCTCAACCAGATCATCCAAAGAAGTCATAAACATACTACTAGAGGAACTGCAAGACCGTCTGCAGCATAGCAGTACTGCGCCCTGGTGTGTTCTTAGCGTTGGGTTGGAAATATCTGCGTGGTAAGAAATTTGGATCTTTGGATCTCTTTCTCTCTCACCCCTTTAAAGTCTCATTTTTCCCTCACCGTGCGATGGTAGAGGTTTTGTGGTCCTACGTTAGCGGTCCCTTATTTTTCCTGCCCTGATATGCCCACTGCACTTACTATTTAGAAATTTCTCTGCTGCCCACATCTGACTATTTACCAAATAATGCCATCAATGATGTGCAGTCATGAGCATCACTTTTTCTGTCCCTGATGTAAGCTGTCGTTCACATTGGTCAGCATGGTTACGTAACTACACTGACCAGTCAATGCACATTACCACCATTATTCTGAAATACAGCCTGCCAGGTGAGTGAGAGGTCTACAGGTTAGCAAATGGGCAGATGTAGGCAGTGAAGAGCTTGCTAAGGAGCAAGTAAGTGTAGCAGGGACCGAAGGAGTGGGGAGGGTGTTAGGTAACATCTTCTTTTTTGGATGAAAAATTAGAAATACTTTTTAAGTTTTTACATTATAGGTGTCCATTTCCAGGGCAGGGCAAACTGTTGCCCTCCAGCTATTGTGCAATAGCATATCCCAAGGACACACATACTATCCATAGGACACACAGAACAGGGCTCAGCCTCACCCCCGCTATTTGTCACTGGCTCTGATTGACAGCTATGGGAGCCAATGGTTCCTGCTGTTGTATCGGAGCCAATGAAGAGCAAGCTTGCACATCACTGAATCAAGATCAGGCTCAGTTATGTATTTAGGGGGGATGCGGGGGGGGGGAAGCTGCGTGCAGAAGTTGTTTTATCTCACTGTATAGTTAAAACCTACTGTCTTTACAACCACTTTCATGTCAGCTACTGCGCTCTGTACACATGTTTTTTTGTTTTCAACAGAGAAGCTTAGAATAGACAGGTTATTGTTTGAAAGTAGCCTGCTGACTAGAGCTTTCTTTTGGTGGTATTTGATCACCACTGGGATTTTTATTTTTTAAATAAAATGAAAAAAGAGTTAACATTATGAAAAGAAAAAAACATTTTCTACTTTCTGTTATAAAAAAAAATCCAATAAATTCAAATTTAGTCATACATTTAAGCCAAAATGTATTCTGCTACATGTCTTTGGTTAAAAAAAAATAAAAATCCCAATACGTGTATATTTATTGGTTTGTGTGAATGTTATAGCATCTGCAAACTATAATATATATATTGGAATTTACACAGCTTTTACTTTCTGACTGCCTATCATGTTTCTTGAGGTGCTAAAATGCCAGGGCAATACAACCCCACCCCCCTTTTTGGAAAGTAGACACCCCAAGGGATTTGCTGAGAGGCATATTGAGTCCATGGAACATTTTATGTTTTGCCAAAATTTTTTGGAAAATTTAATTTTTTTTTTTTTATATATACACAAAGTTGTCACCTAAATGATATTCCACATATACCCATAGCATGTGTGAGCTAACACCTCTAAACACATTCTGCTACTTCTCCAGAGTATGAGGATACCACATTTGAGAGACGTTGTGGCTGCCTAGCCACATACCGGCCCCCAAAATCCAATGAACATCTTCAGGCTTTCAAAAGGGCATATTTCCTCATGTCACTTCCTCACTACCTATCACACCTATCACAGTTTCGGAGGCCCTAAAATGCCAGGATAGTACAAACACCCCCACAAACTACCACTTTTTGGAAAGTAGACACCCCAAGGAATTTGATAAGAGGCATGCTGAGTATTTTTCAGATATAATTTTTTGTTACCGGGTTTTCAAAAAGAAAAAAAATACATTTTTGTTTTCCTTCATTTTTCAAAAACTTGTGGCAACAAATGAGATCTACAAAGTGTTCACCATGCCCCTTTGCAAATACCTTGGAGTGTCTGCTTTCCAAAAAGGGGTCATTTGGGGGGGTACTTCTACTATTCTGGAATTTTATGCCCAACATTAGAAGCTTATGCCACACATCACCCCTCTTCTAACTACTTGAAGACCAAGCCTTTTCTGACGTTTTCTTTACATAAAATAAGTTTTTTTGCTAGAAAATTACTTTGAACTCCCTCAAACATATATTTTTAAAGCAGAGGCCCTGGAGAATAAAATGGTGGGTGTTGCATTTTTTAATGTCATGTAGTATTAGCGCAGTGATTTTTTTTTTTTTCAACGCAAATGTTTTTGAAAAATACATTTTTCTAAAATGTTAATGCACAAAAACATAATATATTGCCCAATTGTTTGACAATATAAAAGAGGATGTTATGCTAAGTGAATAGATACCAAACATGACATGCTTTAAAATTGCGCACGTCTGTGCAACGGCCATATACTACAGAAATCTTTAATATTCATAGCCGATGCTTTAAAACCCTTTACATGTTACCATTTTAGATTATTTACACAGGAAGTCTAGTGCTAGAATCACTGCCCTTCATCTGACGTTCGCAGTGATACCTCACATGCATGGCAAAATCTCTGTTTACGTAACGAAACTGGACCGACACCTGTGTTCATCTGTTCACCTTTTGTGTGTGATTTCACTTTTCTTTTCTTTCTTTTTCACTGTCCCTTAATTTTTTTCTTTTTTATCACTTTTATTGTTATCACAGTGAATGTAAATATCCCCTGTGATATCAATAGGCAGTGACTGGTACTCTTTTCTGAGAAATCTTCAGTGTATTAGACTCTAGATCTAACCTCTGCCCTTAAAGCATCTGATCACACCAAGATGCTTTCCCAATTTTAAAATGGCACAATTTATATCTAGCAAAACTGAAATGATGAATGCTCATAGCTTCCAGTTTCTTAGACTATAAATATGGTTGGAGTAATTCTGGCCTCTGGTCAGCTCTACGGTCAGCTGACAGAAAGAACTGCCGGCTGCATCCT